AGGTCGTTCTGCGCCTGAGACGTCTGCAGTACCTGGCTCGTTCTCGAGCCTGGCGGGCTGAAAGAGATCTAAACCTTTATCTTCCACCCCTAATATATATTTTTTTAGATTAATGGTTTTCTGCCCCATTTAATATGTCTAACGTTAGACAGAACAATTACGCATTAGATTTTTTTCATTTAACAATAAATTGTTGCCATGAGTTTGTTTGCCCTTTCTTCTCATAAGGCTCAACCCCTTGGAAACGGGCGGTTGTAGATCGGCACAGGCATATCATAACTCACATCATCTAAGCTATTGCTAATTTAATATAATCCAAACCAGACGGGTTCAATACTATTCCCTGTGACACACCTAGTTTGAACCTAATGAATAAATGCCATTTATCTGTATGTACCACTCAGGTAAGATTTTAACAGAGGTCCACAAAGTCCATGACGCTCATGTTTCACATGAATCGTAGTATTATTAATGTCGTTATACAAATAATGTCGTTATTGAATGAATGGGAAATATCATTATTTAAATAAATAAAAAAATATACTTATTGAATAAAGTACTAACCACTGTTTGCAAAATGTGTAAAATATTGCGAAAATAATGTACACGTCACGTTTTATACACCCTATAAACCCCAACCCCCCCCCCCCTCGTAAACGCCACGTATTATGGACGCCCCCTTATTATGGAAGTTCGAAATATGCAAAAAAAAAGATTTCAGAGAAAAAATCCCTTACTCTTGTTTTAATTTTGGGTAGCCAAAGTACCAGTACCCATAAAGATTTCGATGTTACGATTGCTTTGATATTTTAAGACACAAAATTTAAAAGGTATATCTAATGGGGGTATTTTTTCCCAAGTCAATGGGTCTACACAAATAAGATGCATGTCATGTCGTTTATTACATTATTTGTGCGTCTGCGTCTTTTATATATTTTAAACCGGACATTTGAGTATGCGGAATCGTTGTATTGTATTACTTTTTACTTTCATTTGTAATACTAGATACCAGCGAGGCTATTAGAATATTTCTTAGAAATATTTAATAATGAAGGCTAGTATTTTATAAATTAGGGTATAATTTATTCAAAAATTGTTTACGGTAGTTAACTTCGTCATTCAATTCCTATATTGTTAATCATAATACTATAATATGAACAGCAATGAACTCTAGAATGTAAAACTAACGTGGCTAATTAGTTTTCGGCTTTCTCGTTCAACAATTGTGTTTGACCTCGCTGAGCAGGAAGTCAGAGAAATGATCAATCAGACTTGTCCTTCTTGACCTTAACGCACCATTTCCGTACGGAGTTGACTAACAAAATGTCATACTTCACTGTATGATCACAACAGTGCTAAACTTAATGGGATTCATTTCTATTTATATTATGAAAATTCCATTACAACAAATTACCTTATAAAAGTAGTAGCGAAAGCATTATCAATACAGGAAACCACAATTCTACAGTTATAAAAAGTTAATCAACAATACTAATAAAAACAATAAAATATTGTATTGTTTTCTCTTATCACAAAGGTAATTAAATACAAATACAGATCAGTCAAATTATATCATTCCTTTGTGAGAGACTGGTATCTGTAGTAAGAAAAACCTGTATTACAGATCACCAGGCACTATTGGACCTGGTGGCGGTTGGTCTCCTGGACTAGACATAGTTACATTAGTTGTAGCATATACTAGTTTGCGATAAATGTAATATAAATAGTTAACATTTCTAAAGTAAGTACTCCTAGCAGATCTATAAGCTCCAAATTTTGAATACAGTTATTGTTTAACCGATGACGCAAGAAAGTCTGACGTTCCGAATTTTTAGTACTGTTATCAAGAAATATAAGTAAAATCTGGTTTCTTGAATAGTTGATGTTATAGTAATCATTTTTTTTTAATAAATAGAGTGACTTGACAATTGTACATGTTATATTTTTAAATCAATTTTAAGTTAAAAGAAATAACACCGAGATTGCGTAGTTGTTTTTTTTTGTGTAGATAAATGTAGCTCGCATTTGCTGCACATTCATTGAAGTGCATTCATTTACGTGCTAATTATTTCATTTAAGTTTCCTCGCAATTAAGACACTTGCGAAAAAGATCTTATGATTGTTTGGGCTAGATTTCAGTAAAGTAAGTGTACAATAAAACATAAATATAATGTTTACCATTATTTTCATAGTCTCGATTTTCATTCTTTTTGAACAAAGAATGAAATATGAACTACTCTAAGCGAAAGCTACATTTTTTTACGAACTTTACAGTTATGTGAATTTACTTGTGTATAATATGGCGCAAAAATTATTTTTCGAACTTTTTCTTCTGGATCTTCATTAAACGAATTTCTCTAAGTTTATCTTTTATTTTTAGAAATAAATAAAATTTACAGGGATGACTGAGTAGTTCCACAGATTCGATAGACAAATATTCGGTAGTCGTCTGGCGGAGTGAGCTGGAGTTTTGTCGTGTTGGAGGAGAATCCTACTTCTTGGGCACTGCTCGACTGCACCAAATCAAAACGATGAAACAACACTATGATAGTTGCGAAATATGCAAAAAAAAGCGATTTAAAAAAAATGTACCTTACTGTGTTTTGATTTGGGGCAGCCGTGCTGTCTAAGATCTTCCAAGACCTAATAATCCTGTCAAGCAATTTTTTGGCTGAACCGGTAGTCAGGTTACCTAATATTATACCAATCTGTAGTAATAGTCGGAGAGAATTAGCGAATCCACGAATCCACAAATTGATAACCTTAATTTTTTTATCCGTTAGTAGCGGAACTTTAACAAAACTGATAAAAAGGCCTTCGGGAGAATGGCTCTACTTGGGACAACTTGAGACTTCATCTAAACACGTAAAAAAACGTTTTAAAATGCCGTTTTATTCAGTTAAGTAGAAATACTAAAAAAGTCGATTTACAACAATCGCAAATTTGCGCTCGGGCCAGTGATTTAGTCAGAGGCTGCTACTGACTAAATCACTGGCCCGAGTGATTTAGTCAGTAGCAGCCACTGACTAACTGCTGCTCGGCTGACCCAAATCAAAACCCAGAAAGGGACATTTTTCTGAAATCATAAAAACCTTTTAAATTTCAGAAATTTTAACATATTATTTTTTTTTTTTTTTTTTTATATTTATTTATTTAAATAAGAAAACAGCATAACATAAAAACATGAAACACCCATAAAACACGTATTGGTTTATCTTGGGAAACCTATTTAAATTAAACCTAGTAAATGTACTATACTATATTAAAAAACCAGATCAAAAACCTAGTAACTCGCCTTTACCACTAGTCACTTAGTCACATGAACTTACTAGGTTTTGTTATGGTAAATGCGGCTTACTAGGTTTTTGAAATAGGGCGCGACGCGCGTAAGGAGTGGATTTAACCTAAAATAACATTTGGACAATTTACACAGCCTTGGCTAAGACAATGAATAACCCAACAAATGTAATAGAGACGATCACCAGAAACTATCTAACGAAGAGACATACACAATCATATCTGCGTGAGCAGTTTACGCTAATATTGAACTAAAAATTATAAGATAAAGAAATATAATACGTTTTTCAGGATTTTAATGATACAGTGAAGCAATCTATAAAGAATATTAAGGTTATAAAAGTTTAGAATAATTATGAACCTCATTTTTTGCACGGACTTTTTCCCTTTGTTTCTGCCCTTCTTTACTTCTATCTTCATATCTTGGAATGGAAACATCCATTGTGCAGATTATCTTTGTATAGCCACCTTTCATCACCTGTGATGATGTCATATGTTAAAGCATCCGAGGCACCTCCATTATACATTGAGCGCATTGAGCGTTACCAATTCCAACGACGGCGTTTTTAATCTTACGTCAAATTATGAGGTCTCCATCTACTAAAAATTTTTGACGCCTTAATGTTCATGTAAGATTTTTTGTACTTCACTCATACCAATGCCTGAAGTTGCCCGAATCTGTTGATATGTCACTCTTCTAATCAGTTTCTGTCATTATTTGCATGATATAGTAGACAAATGCTAGTATGTAACTACATTCATTCACTTACATTGTATTGAAGTGTAAACTCTCGATCGCTGAAACAGAAACCAGTGTGGTGTCTCCAAAAGCTGTCGTTTTGTAAACTGTCAAGTTGTTTTATGTGAAAAAAAATAGCTGTACAGCACTTAAGTTATCTTCGGTATCTCGTTTTCCCCCTCTTCAATAAAAGATAAAAAAGTGGCCGTAGAAGTACGTCCTACTCGACAATCATCAGTGAGTTTGCTTCGACCATGTAAAAACTTATGCTTAAACAGTGGCATGAGATGGTGGTACCTAATGAAATACTAATCGAAGTCTACGTATATCGTAACATTGTTGTTGAGTAAATCGGCCACGAAAGTCGTAATAAATCACTAAGCGAACATTGTCTCTAGTCAAATTCATTTCGATGCACAATAGTCCTTTACTTAAATTGCCTACTTAAACTTATAAACAAAAGATATATGAAATCATAAAACATCTAGATTTTAAATTAAATTTAAATATTTTTTTCATCAACTGCTTTTCTTACTGGCCTATTCTTATAACTTTCAGTGTAACCCACGTTTTTGAACTACATGGAATGTCTGTCTAAGAAAATTGTCAGTCGAAGAAAATAGATAAAATAAATAATTATAATAACTTTTAATCCAACCGTGTTCTATGATACATAAATATGAGCATGGCCCTGGTCAGGTATAGATTTTTACGACAATCTTTCCTTCTATTTTAATTACCTACTTCGAGGTTACTACCGAACTTTTGCAGTAAAGATGTCATAGAAGCTATTACGCAACGTGTCTGTTTCAATAGTGAAAAGCAAAAACAGGAAAATCAGAATTAAGGATAATAACTTAGTTGCAAAGTATATTAGTACGTTTTATATCTTCACTAACCAGTACTATAATACATTACATATGGATCAAACGTCTAATATTTGTAAATGAGCAACTATTTAAAAATGTCTATACAAAAATTTATTATAATAAGTGTTACTATTCTACTAACTTTATTTGAAATTGGTGAGTTTCTGTTTAAATACAATGTTGTTCTGTGAATAACTAATGTGAAATAGTGTGTGTGAAAACTGTAATTTGACGAGTCTAAGAATTTCATTTTATCTCTTCACGTGATTTATTTTTCTGGATTAATTCCTTTGTTTATGAGATCCTGCTAACTTGTGGAGAAATCAGTGGTCATTTAGAATTTCATCAATTGAAGGTTAGGCAAGGTCAGGAGAGGCTTATGTCCAGCAGTGCACTATTAAAGGCTGTTGATGATGATGATGATGATGATGATGTAGGTTTTTTCTCACGAAATTTGAATCTGAAGAAATTATGGGCCTACATTTTTTATTTGGACACATGATATATGATTAAGAAAGTAAACGAAGAGTCCTGTTGTAACCCTTACTGATGAACCCAATTAATTTGATAAAGGAAAATATTACACGGTACACGGTAGCCTATGATTTGATTGAGTTCCATGATTACCAGCCTATTTACTTAGTCTACTGATAGGAACTGAAATTATCTTTTAAAATGAATTCTGAACGTCTATACGAAACTTTCATAGTAAGTTTTTGTGTTTTGTAGACATGGATCTTTCTATTTGTTCTTTTTTTTTATCAAATCTAGTCATAGGAAATCCGACTTCATCTTGTTAAAAAAAACAATCTATGTGTAAATGTGTTTGAAAATATCTTTTTGTAAAATAAATTTATTTATCACTTAACACACTTTAGAAGAGTAATCCGTACTTGAAATACCTAATGTGAAAGTGAGTTTGTTTGTTACGCTTTGGCGCCTAAACCACTACACCCATTTTTTTTACCAATGATGTGCTACATTATCAGCGAGTAACATAGGCTTCTGTTTACTGCGATAACCGACATACACGCGAGTGGAGCCATAGGCAAAAGTTGTTGTGTTGTGTTTCACATAAATCTATTTATATAAAAACCGTGTGGTGACGACGAAGAGAAGGAAAACTTGAAACAAACCCTATACCAACCCGTCTGGCCAGCGTTTTATAGTAGGCCAAACCTCCTTTCTAAGGAGAGACCTATGTCCAGCAGTGGACTAGTATAGGCTGTTGATGTGATGTGATGTGATGTGGTGACGGATTAAGAATACTGAGTGTCACCACTCCTATTTATCCCGTGGGTGCCGTAAGAGCCGACTAAGAGATCAAACTACACAGGACAACAACACTGCAAAGAGAAGAAAAACTTGACACAACCCGTCTGGCCAGCGTAGTATAGTTGGCCAAAACCTCCTTTCTAAGGAGAGGTCTATGTCCAGCAGTCGACTATTAAAGGCTGTTGATGTGATGATGATGATGTGACCTGCTTAAGGACCATAATTGTTTTTCTAATACTAGCAATATTTTTTCCCCTTCATATTAAGGCACTTGTCTTCGTTGCTACGAATGCACTACTACGCGTCATCAAAGCTGTGCAGATCCGTACAAAAAAACTAATAATTATATTCACGTAAGTGTACAAATCTCATTTCTTTTACTATGCAACTAATAGACTAAATTAAGACAAGAACAGGTTCTTGAAATTGAGGAAAGGAGTTGAGGTGTACTTAAGAAATACACCGTCACAAATGTTAATTTATATTTAAATAATATAATAATTAATGTTATTGGGTGTAATTTATCTATAATATGTATGTATGTAAGCGGCGGTAGACTAGTGGTTAAGGCGTTGGACTTGCGATCAAGAGGTCGTGGTTTCAAATCCTGATCAGTACACTACCGACGTGAACCCACTCCTAACACAAGCAATTTAGCTTAGCGGGAGGGGTTAACGGGTATCTAGTAATTTCGGTTGCTAGTAGACCTTTAAAAAAATAATTAAAAATTAAGTATGTCTATCAGCAGTCTGGTTACCATAGTACGAGTGTGGCCACGAGTGGACGGGATGGGTTTCCCTCCACCCGCATTAGTTTGGCCAGCCGCGAGGGGGCGGCGTCCGCGTGTGCCGGACGTCGCCTAAAGAGAGGATATTTTGAGACGGAGCCCGGACCAGGAGCGGGCCGGCGCTGGGAGGGGTCCAGAAGGCGATAACTACCTGGAACCCCCCCTAAAATAGAAGCGCAAAGAGGGCACACCGTGTGGCTTTAGTCGGTTCGAGTCCGACACACCGCCCCGCCGATAGAGAACCCCGGCGGGGTAACGGTCCGAGGGGATTTCCACACGTTAAAAATAAATAAATAAAGGGTCTGCTTAATTGGGACTAGACAGGCGTTGTTTGAGGTTATTATTATTTTTATTAAATAAATAATAAAAATAATATCAAAAACGTTTTGGATGTTATGACCAAAAATATTACTCATAAAGCTTTAAAAGTAACAGACAAAATAGTTATTGAAGTTCTAGTGATGTAGTCGCAGAAAACCGTTCGCCAATGCTTATGGAGTAAAAATCCCGACATCAACTGTCCAGATCTTTTTTAAACAGATTTTAGTAACGTAACTTTTTAAATAAAAGAAAAATAGTTATTGCTCTTTATATAAGACTGATAACCATACGTGATATTGATTTTCACCTGGAAATTTTGTTTTCAGGATTGTACTATTAAGGACACCCAATGTGGAAAGTTGATTATAGGTTAGTATAATTGTTATGAATCATACCACTTTTTCAACTAGTTCAAGTCAATTCAAGGCAGTTTAAGTCAACAAGGCAGTTAACAATGAACTAAAATAAGGCGGCAAGAATTGGATCTGATTGTATGGTAGGCACAAACATTTACCGTTGAGAGTTGTACCTAAATGACGATGATAAAACATGCCTTTCACGACAACGCATCTCTCCAGAAAGGTAGATTTTTGTTTGTTCCCATTCAAATTTGAAGAAAAATACGGGTGGTTTTAAAAAAATATATATAAGTGGTTTAAAATGAAAGAATGAAAAACTCAACTTAATACAATTCGACATGATGCACGTGCATTGAAGTACTTATAGTTTAGTTGCAGTGAAGGACGTCAAAAAAAATTGGTATTCCCCTACTTGGGTAATCCCCCGGGAACCAAACTGCAACAGCTTTCCTCAATAAGTTTTACGGTGATGACACACCTGACACTCCCACACAGAACTTCACTCTTATTCAAATGCACAATCGACCCGATACTGAAGACGATGCTCTATTCACACAACATGAAATAACTACTATCCTGAAAAACATGAATCCCTCCACCTTACCTCTGACATTTGTTATTAGTTTGCCCTATGTTTGCCTGAAATTATCACTGGGCTCATGAACCGCTGCCTATCAATCTCTGTTTTCCCCAAAACATGGAAACATGCAATAATTAAAATAATTCCGAAACCCAATAAATCCGATTACTCTGCCTCATCCTCATATCGCCCTATAGGACTTTTACCTATACTGGGTTCCCCTTATAACCCTTCAAAAATTATGCATGAACTCTTTGTGCTCTTAGCTTGTAAACTATATGTGTCATAAAAATACTCAGTGAGTTCATTTATGGCAACAATAAGGCAAAACTCAGTAAGTGATAAAAACCTTACTATGACTTAGGTGTTTTGTACTATTGTATGTACTGTGTGGCTTTATTTCAATGTAATGAGATAACTGTACCCTAATAAGTTATGCATATAAATATTTACATGTTTATGAATACAAAACAAATATTATATGTTTTTTTACTTGATTCCAGAGACTCCTGAGGGCGATGTTATAGTTCGTCACTGTTTCAATCCTTTTATCAATTGTGAGACTGTAATTGCTAAAACGAATGCATTAACTACCAATGAAAAAATAAAACACTGTAGCAGTTGCCATGGAGACCTTTGCAACGGAGCTTCATCGGTGTCTTTGTCAATTTTCCTTACTATTGTAATCCTGTTTGGTACATGTCTGTATTACAAGTAATAATGTTTAAAGTGTTATAGGATAGAGCATCGTTACCATAATATTACATGCTAACCACTGGTTTCTACTTGTATCGTATAATGATACATAATATAAATATGTTTAAATGTGATATAGAGCTCAGTAATGTTAACAAGTGACATAAATTTAAATGACTATAAATTATTAATTTCGTACTCTGTTGACGCTTTAACTAAAATATACATAGTGTAACATTAAGTGTTAGTAAATATACTCTTATACTAATACCATGCTAGTAGCAAACACACTTCGAGTCTTGCGAGTTCTGTTGGTATTATATGTTGAAGCAACGGAAGAAGGATTGATGCCATTCTGAGGTTAAAGCCTTCATCTACCACCTAGTGCATTAATTAAGTTTACCATCGTAATCATTTAAAACGTTGAAATGAAGATCGGCTTGAAGAATAATATTTTCAGAGTTAACATTTTAAGAGATATGGTTGACTTTTTTTTATGTTAGAGGGGGCAGACGAGCAGACGGGTCACTTGATGGAAAGGGACCATCGCCGCCCATGAACGTGTGCAACTCAAGAGTCACAAAGGCGTTGCTGGCCTTTTAGGAATGAGTACGTTCTTTTCTTGAAGGTTTGAAGGTCGTATCGGTCCGGAAATTGGTCTATCTTATCCAGAAAGGTGTCGAACTTTAGCCTGATTTTTACAGATTGTGTGTTTGGAGAGAGTTTAAGCCAAAGTTCATTCATTTTGCATTTTCAGCTTATAGCTATTTTTTTACAAATAAGTATTGTGTCATGTATCCTAATACAATAACATGAAATGATAGATGAGATTTCGTGTTCTATTTTTTTTTTTAATGTATTTTATGTAATTCTCTTGCTTGCAAGCTTTTGGATTGAAGTCGTCGCGACATGAAAAGGACCCTAGTAAGCAGGGCGTATATCAATTGCGAGGAAACGATTCATGAATTATCTGTATTTATATAGCGTTTCAATTTATTCTAGTGATTTTAGTAATAGGAACATATTGAAAGCCTATTTAATAAGCATATGAGATACTGAGAAACCGATAGCTGTATTTCTCGAAACTGTGATATAAGTACTCCAACATGGCCCTCGAGACACCAAACTCAAACTACACTTGTTTTTTAGTGTAAATTTTGAATGATTAAATATTACCTTAAGTAATCAGACTTTCAATTCCTGAGAGGCATGCAACCTATAGCAAGAACTTAAATGAGTTTACGGTTTAAGTAAGTTTCTTCAAACTAATCAACACCCGTCAAAAGGTTATCGATAAAAAAACATGTCAACTACCTTCAGAGACCCGTATTTCTGTATATTCTAGTCCTATTTGTTTGAGATATCTCGTTGCCCAGGAAGCACGAGTAGTACCACATGCATAGTTACTTTTAGAGGTTAAGACGGATCATCCACGCCATAAGATTTTTTGTTGTATATGTATATGTGAGTGGCTGCGCCCACCACGTTCTGTCCTGACAATAAATCAGTGTGCATCTAGCAAGCATTCGTTTCACTTGCTCCCTGGCTGTCATATAAAGCAGTCTGAAAGGCATGCATCTTGTACTTTTAAATAGTTTTGAGAGAAATACCAGACGAAATGGGAACACTTATTATAAATTATATGAAATTCGGGTGTGTTACGGCGCAGCCCGGCCACAGTCGATTTCATAATTTATAGACGAATCAAGTAAATGTTATTTCATTGTTCTTGCTGTACCAATCAATAGATTACATGTACCAAAATATATCTTGTTAAAAAGCAATTGTTTGTGGCCGGGAAGCACCGTATACGTTGCAGCCCGGCCACATATAGGTAGGATACTCAGAATTTTCTAAAATATAAAGGAAAAAAATGTTCCTTTTGTGTTCTTTATTTTTTTTCCCATGAAAAAACGCTAACAGAAATCCTCACATAAACATAAAATGATTTCAAACAAGAATTTGCACTAAGCGCCTTCGCCTCTTCCTCGTTGTTTAATTGCTTACATACTTACATTGCTATTTTAGTAGTTTAGGCGCTTAATGGCAATTCTTATTTGAAATCATTTTCTGTTAATGTAAGCGTCTCTAGGTAAATTTTAATGGAAAAAATAAAGGACATAAAAGGATTTTTTTTTAGTTTCTATTTTAGAATATTCTGAGCATCCTACCTGTATTATATTATACACGTGGCCGGGGTACAACGTATACGGGGCTGCCCGGCCACAAACAATTGCTTTTTAACAAGCTATATTTGTGGTACATTTAATCTATTGATTAGTACAGCGAGAAAAATAAAATAAAATTTAATTGATACATCTATAAATTACGAAATCGACTGTGGCCGGGCTGCGCCGCAACACACGCTTTTCGGTTGTCAATTGTGCTGATTTTTTTTCAATTCCCCCATAGTGAAATATTAAATATGAAGGCCTGACTCATTTCATTTTCATTTTATTTACAAAATACAGTTAATAAACTTTTTGCTTCCACATAAAAGAAGTCGATTACTCCATTTCTTGTTAAATAATTGAGCGTTGGCGGTGAACTTAAATTAATAAAGTAAGCGATTATACAATTTAGCGTCTTCCAACATGGTTTACTTATTTCACTTATTTTCGAATTGAATAAATCCTCTTTGACATAATTAAATTGTATTTATTTTTATCTTGCCACATCTTAATCGTCTATGCAATTCAAACGATATTAAATCTATCGTTTGAATTGTATAGACAATTGAACATATCAAGAGCATTTCAGGTGGTTTTATATAAATTAAAATATGTAACTACCATCTTTGCCTGAGGACTAATTTATTTGGAATTTTAAAAGGATATATAGCGCCTGACATTAAAAAAATGCTACAAAAACTCAAAAGTTCCGCACCTCTGATATACAAAACGATTGTTTTTATGTATTTTTCGTGTCAGTTTTGTACCTTATTTCTCATCAAGGCAACCACACTGCCACAGCGAAGCGTAGCAGAGTGCAGCTATATACGAGTAAGAAAGTGATTGATATAGATTGTACATAGGATAAGAGTATGGATAGTTTTTACATTGCAAAAGTTTTGTATAACATTATTAAGTTTACCACAGATGACTAATTAATTTGATCACGTTTACGCTCGAAGTGTGTTTGTTTCGTGCCTCCAAAAAAGTCTCATCTTTAGTGAGGCATTAATAATATCAGTCCCATTACTACTGCTCATAGTTATGAGTAGTAGTAATGGGCATTAATGCTAAATAGATTTAATTTAATTCTTATGCGAATTCTTATGTCTTAGCATGTTAATTGCTAATGTTATTATTTGCTAATATTGCAATTTCGTACAAATGAAAAACGATCGTAACTTGTATGTATATCACTAAATATTAATTTTACATAAATAACTTATTTTTATTATATTTTAATTCACCGTGATTTTCGCGATCAAAAGTGGCTGCTATTTTATTTTATGCAACAATATTACAGAAATAATGCAGTATAGGGTTTATCGGGTAGTCGTGAAATTTCCTGAACGGATGAATTAATAATCAACGCTGCACCTAACTAGGTCCTATTCTGGAAGAGGATGCACCATTCTCTCGACTTTGGGCCCTACCTACCTATGTGATGTAGCCAGACCGTGTTTTGTCCTATACGATCTACCAGGATCTCCTGTTTAGACACCCACGCGGGATTTTTCTTGCGCATGCTGGTCAGAGTCCCATTCGTCTGCGCATTGCTGGTATTGAGCCGTCTACTCACGTCCGATCGAATTCAGCTACTCACCGAAGCAACCATGCCCGAGTAGTACCTGCGTCAATGGATAGGTGACGCGACTTAACTCTATACTTACCCACTCTTCGGGGTTAGGCAAAACAGCGCGTTGACGCACATATCAGTACCTGTGGATGTGTGCTTCGGCGCATTCGCTGCTACGCTTTATTGAGCTAATTTCGGCAGCGGGAGAAGGCTAATAGATGAAGAGCCCATATCGACGTTCCGTATAGGGCCATGGATTTGACAGTAGCCTCTGAAGGGAGCCCGCCACCCCGAGAAGTCCTCTCTCCTCGAAATTCCAGCGACAGTCCAGGGTGAGGCCGAGGAACTTAATCTGGCGTATGAATTCGAGTGTGTATTTACCCCACCCTAAGAGCTGCACTGCCGCGTTTTTCTGTGAAACCACAGGGATTCCGTTCTATGGTGACGATACACGCTACCTATAACTCGGCCAGCTCCGAGGCCTCCTTTGCGTAACAGACGACACTCACTTCTCGCCTAGGAAACACTACTTATAACCTCCCTTTAACATTATTTACCGTCTTGATCTATATACGATATGGACCTGTCGTGAAAATAAGCTCCAAAGATGTCAAGCAGGTAGGCGAGCAACTGTTGTTACACAAATGCCTCCCTAAGCACTCACCACGGCAACGATTCAAATCAAAAACATTGACTATGTCAAGACAGACGGCCCACATTACTCTCGCCGACAACCTCTTCCTTTCATTAACCGTAATACAAGACATTAACACAAGGTTTACTGCATTAACTGAATATAACAACAATTGAATAGTAATTCAAGATGGAGAAAGCAAAGACATTTAGCAAAATATGACGACAATATCGAAAATGAGATCCGAATGTATCCTCGACAACTTGTTGTTTACTGTTATTGTCTATGTTCGTAGCATAGTAAGCTTATTCTGAACTTTACTCATTGTATTTACACTCGGAATAGTGTTTTCGTCGTCGTTGAAGTGTTGGGGCGATTCGAGGTGTACGTCATCCTTTTTTGTTTCTCTCTCGGGAATTTGTTTGGTCAGATTTCATATTATAACCTTAGCTTCCTTCAATTGCTGCTCTAAATTTCTGATAGTCTGCACCATAGACTGTGTATACAGGCGTGGGTGCGCTATCGTATGAAAGGGTATTTAGTGAGCTAGAAATCATTAAATTTGAGCGGACACGTTTCTTATATTGCCGTGCGTAACTTATTAGGTGTGTGTTTATTTGGACTTATATTTATGCAGACTG